GCAATACTGCATCATTTGTTTTCAAATGGTTTGCTTTGGACTGTTCGGAACTCTTTTGTTTGTATAAGGTAAACAATTTAAATTATTTTGGTTAAATTCAGTGTGTGTAGTGCTTTGTAAAAGGATTAAACTCATTTGGGGTATGACTAGCAGTTCTGCACATCTTTCTGAAAGTTTTGCACATTCTTTGTACAACCCTACTAAAGTTTTGTCACCTTGGAGGAAAAATACCTGTGGTTTTTAATTTCCAATACTTAAAATGGCCCATTTTGAAGCCATGGTTGTGTGATTGTTATCCTTATATAGGGTGAACATATTCCCCGATCTCAAGTGTTTAGAAGCTTATCTGGTTCCTATCAGTTTTTTTTTATTTTCTCTTCTGCTTTGACAAGCTTCCCTGTCTTATTTGAAGAAAGTATCCCACAGCATAATGATGCAACTACTGTGTTTGTCGATATTGAAAAACTGTTCAGGGTGATATGCTATACTGGATTCTACATACATCGTGTTTTGGATATAGGCCAAAAACTTCAATATTGGTCTTTGCTGACCAGGGCACCTAGGTGTATGGAAAATTGCAATTATTTCCTTCAAGCACTGAACTGATTATTCACAATTTTTGAAAGGCAACACATTTATGGAGTGCACAATCATTAGTTGTCCTGTCACCAGATTCTTCAGCACCTCTTCCAGAGGTTCCATGTACCACTTAGTTGCTCTCTGATTAATGCTCTTCTTGATGACCTTATAATTTTAGCCGCAGTTTGGTTTATTTTGCTGCTGGTTGATGTTGTTTAACAACAGCTCTCATTTTCAAATGATGAGTGGAGAAGAAAAGAGATGTTTAAATGCTTCAATATTGCTTTATAGTCTAAACATACTTCAAATTTCTCCATAATGACCACTCCATGATTGTTTTTTAGTGGGGTAGGATGAACAAAATATAAATTGCTGTATGTCCTATTTTTCTTCTGCGTCCAAATCATGCACTACATTGTGTTGACACCTCCCAACAAAACACATAAAGGTTTGAAAGATTTTTAGAGCTTTGAATGTTTCTGTAGCATCAATTTAGATTCCTCATTTTAAAATGTGTGCAAGTAATAAAATGTTCCATGATAAAGTAAAAAAAAACAAAAAAAAACATGTTCATTTATTTTCATCTTTAAATCATCATTTTTGTCATTCTCTGTCCTGTAAGCTTCCAAGCTAAGGTTTGAGTTCTCTGGACCTGAGAGTTGTGTTGCACTTGCATGAAATAATTTTAGAATGCTATTTTTAGCTCCTATAAAATGTTTCTGAATACAAAACACCAGATAAAAGCAACAAGTGTCACAAGGTGGTTAGTAACACAACAAGGTGGTGTGAGCCTAAACACAGCCGTCTGAGTGGGGGTTACTTAAAGGACAAGCTCTAGATAGATTAACTTTAACGGTGCATCTCCTCTTACAGTCAAAGGAGAAGGGGTATAGGAAGGAAGAGCAGATCTGTCTCACAAATGTACACACAGGAACGAAAGGTCGTGCCTCTAAAATTAGCAGTAATCTTTTTTACTTTCCTAGAAAGAAAGAAAATATTTTTCAAGGAAAAATCTGTATTTAAAGAAAAAATACCATGAAAAAGAGGAGAGGTAAAGGATGTCTGTTCAGATTTTGCATCTTTTATCTCACCGTATTTTTGATTAAGTTCATGTAGTTAACCTAAGATGGAAATCTCAACCTCTCACATGCTCACACATCAGCTGTGAGGGGTCACTGGCAAACCTTTCAAAGGTCATATTGAACATATTCCTCATCAAGTTAAAGGTCAGAAGTCTGCTCTTCACTGTCGTTCTTGCAAATCTTGTCTTTCTTTTACAGTACTTAGCTCTTTGACAGCTGAGAGAAATCGCAAGGGTAATCTATAATAAAAGAGGACCACCTGAACATGGTTATATATTAATTTTTTTGAAGTTCAGTTTATTTTATATATATGTTATTGCTTATTGATATAGAAGCATAAAAGATAAACCAAGATATGATTGACAGATTGAAAATAGTCATATATCGGTAAATGAACTTTAGCTTGGTTGACCACAAGTAATGACATTAGAAGCTCAGCCAAGATCCATTTTCTTACATAACTTAAAATGGGTCAAATGCTCCGGTATCCTGTTTTCCACTCATTTTACCACATTCTGGAAAACCCTCACTTACCCTGGGCATCACCACCAGAAGTCAGCACAGCAATCGCCCGTCCCTCTCCCATCTTAGTGGGGTCGATTTGAACCGTTTGTGCCATGATCCTGGTCCTGGTCTTAGTTCTGGTCCTGGCGTTGGAGCTGGCTGACAGAAAAAGACCCTAACAGTAAATTTCTCTGCAGCCCTGCTGTTCTCTGAAGAGCCCAAGGTGCCTCTGCAGTAACCAGGTCTGCCTGGTATGGAAAGTGAGCACAGTTGCGAAGTGCCCAGCTTAACTACTCGATTGGCAGACATGTAGGCACACATAGTTGTGACGCATTTAGACACAAACACACATACAGTACAGTACACACTGAGTAAAAGTATTAATCACCTCCACCCTTTCGTATTAAAGTACGAGAGATTTTCTTTTTTTATTTGAAAAGTTTGTTAACAATAATGGGTACATTATTACCTCTGAAAAGTTTCAACCTTAAAAATGTTTTTTATTGTAATAGACAAATTGTATATTTTCTTTCTTTTTTTTTTTTTTTTACCATTTCAGGTAAGTTTACTCATTTAGCATTTTGTACTTTTGCAGATAAATTATTTTACCATTTTGGTATTTAAAAGGATGGCTGTCACAGAACGTCTTGTTCTGACAGTGTGTTGGCTCATACCTGCCCTGTTCAAGTTTTGTATCCTCTCCTATGACATTCAGCTTTCTATATTCTTCTCATGGTCTACTGGAAGGAAACATGATTATAAGACTTTACTAATAATAATAATTTGATCAATAATATTTTTGGTTCACCTCATAAGTTGTACTATTCTGCTCCTTAAGAGTCAAATGGCTAAAATTGCCAGTTAATTAATGTACTACTGTCATATGTACTCCTAATGTAAGATGTATTTGATATTTATTTATATATTAAATCATTTCATTCTTCTCTACTTTAGAAATATCTTACTGTATTTCACTAACTCATATAATTATCTAATGTCACTCAGCTCCCTTTTTAAAAGTAGCAGACTTGATTGGCAGAAGGTTATTCTTTGATTTAGAAAATTATACATTTATTATTTTATTATTTTATTTATTTATCTATTTTTTCTGTAAAGCACATTGGTCAGTTGTGGTTAATTTTAATTATAAAGTATTAATGTATCTGAGGGTTTGATTGTGGTTAGAAACTGCTCTATAAATGAGCAGACAGACAAAACTAAAGTCATATCATTTTCATATCATATTCATATCATATTATTTTTACAGTTGGTTAATTCCTCCCTTCTCATTAGATGCCTTTTTTTTTTTTAGAATCTATGGGTCAACAGTTTATTCTTTAAATAGCCTTGAATATATTGCAGTTTCAAACCCTTTTTCTAAAAATTTCAATAATCAGCAAATGGATTTTAAACATTTGTCAAAGAGCTTGATTGCAACGGACGTTTAAAATTCATAGATCCCAGACACAGATAATGTGTGAGTGGCATCTGATTCAACAAGAAGCTATAGTACGAAAAAGGTTGTGAAACTCATTTCTCTATTTAGAAACTGCTTAAAATCCACAGTTGCACATACTTTTATGGTTATTCAGTTTATGTTTTAGTGTGTTGTATTCAGTAGCAAATCTAAGGCATGACCTTCATAATTGTGTGGACATGCCATGCACACTTTTTTTTGTGTGTGTGTGCCCCCATGATTATGTAGATCATCTTCTACTGACCAAAACGTGCAAATGTATGTGTGTATTTTATCTTTACAGCTTTATTTTTATTAGTAATATTTTTAAAAAATAAGCCATTGCACTTTTATCTGTAGTCATATTGAGAAAATATCACGATTTTCCTGTATTAGATGTCGGATCTGCAGAGCTGCAAGTTGCTCTTTCTGTGAGAAAACACTGGCCCCACTCTGCCACTCTGTTCAACTACAAACTTCCCGTATTAAGCTCCACCCATTAACCAATCAATTCTGACCTGCTTTCATATACCTGGTGAAGAAAAGCATCCTGGTACCGCCATGTTTCACTACAGACTAGGGTTAGGATGTAGTTGTTCCAAAAAAATAGGGTTCCTTTGGTTTCTTTGTTAGCCTGTATTACCCGAAACTTGTCTATGTCAGATATCGGGTATTACAGGCTAACAAAGAAACCAAACGACCCCCATTCCGAACAGGGCAATTAAACAAAATCAATTAGCAGGTTTTCTAAGCCATAACAAGGCTTTGTTTCTGGTCCAATCTATAAAGCTTCTAACTAAACGCTATTTCGGACATTTTGAATTGATAAATTCCTGCGTGGGAAGCAAAACGTCTTTAAACTTGGAAACAAAGTCCAGTGGATTGTTTTTTTTTTTTTTTTAGTTTTTTGGAATGACTATGACCTGGAATATTCACTAGCATATGTATCTATGAGCTATGAATTTGAATGTAAAAAAAAATAAATAAAAAAAATCACTTTTCATCTTATCTCATGAGAGCACCTTTATCCACATGTTTGCTACATGATTAATACTGCTTGACAATAAATTTGATTGAACAGGACAGAGAGGATGTTACATTGAAGAGTCCCTCACACAAAGTTTGTAATTTTTATATGTTTTTATTATTTGCTGGTTTTCACTCTAAATGTTCATATTTTAACCAGAACATTTTTTAATTGTGGGGTGATACATCATTAAAATGATTGGCCTAACACAGTTGTTATAGGTCCTTAGTTTTTTTTTTTTTTGAATGGCCTAGTCAAAGTGCGAAAAACTAAACTTGCTCTGGACATTCTCTATGTGGGGTGACTGTACCTGAGGTATTTTCTGGTCCATGGAGCAAATTGTTGTACAGCAGAGAGAGCAGCAACATAAAATACACATATATAATATACATAAAGTTGCATACATATAAAAGCCTGCATGTATAAAGGAAACAGCTGCTTTGGATGAAGGAAAAGCATAAAATCACTCAAATAAAATAATGTATAAAAGCTCCATCTCTATTTGTGCAAAGCTTGTTCAGACATCCACTAAAAGAGCTATAGCTACATACTCACAAGTTCACAAATATTGACTCAATGAAAGCTGGATACAAACACTTGATTCCTCTGAGTTATATTAATAAAACATTTATAAAAATGTTTCTTATTCTTTTGTTTCACATGTGCTAGCTTTGTTTTGGTATATGGCATCAAATGTTATAAAAATGTCAAGCAGAGTGAATACTAGTGCAGGCCATTGTTTTATTTGCAGTCAGAAAGCCCAGACGGCAGTAGATGTCTGTGTCTCGCCTCTTTTAGGCACCTGACCCATCCTGACTGAAATAGACTGTGGCTATCTATAAAACTAAGAGTTGGTCCTCCTCTTCCCCACCACCATCACTATAAAACTGCACAGTCATTCCTGTAACTGAGCATGGTAACATTTACCACATTTGGCTATTTATTATGTCATACCCCAAAATTCCTAATGTATAAAGCATTTTAATAAAAGTAAAACATTTCTTAAATTATTCAGGTAGAAGAAAAAAAAAAGATTTTTATTTATTTTATCGATATTTTAAGATAAAGGCATAAAACACATTCATACCAATGACTTACCATGAAATTTATTTCTGAACCATTGCCACAGACCCAACAGCATTGCAAAACAGAGTATTCCCAGGATTGCAGGAACATCGAGGTGCCTCATCCTCTCCGTGGCTTTCTTGCAGAAAAATTATTGTGGATCTGATCTGTATTAATAGCTTCTATATCACTTCTTCATTGTGGAGTAACAACCCTCATCAGTAAAGCATGCTCAGCATGCAAAAAGAGCCCTTCAGGGTCTGTCACCATCTGCGGGGCTCCGTTTTTTAAACATCAAGTTAAAAAGACAGACAAATTTTTTTTTTTTTTTTACATTTTAATTAAATTTATGCAGAATGAGACAACATTATACTATGTCTGTTAATACTAATACTGCTAAGGCACAACAGTGGTAGGATTTAAAAAAAAAACAAACAAACAAACAAAATTAAACTTAGACAAACAGACAAACAACACTTGAACACTTTCTACTATGAATAACTATATCTATATATATATATATATATATATTCTGTTTCATCTTTCAGGCTTAAATACTGAATCAGAGCTTATGAGTTTGTGGTTCTCTCCTAGATGAGGCCACAAAAAAAGCTGCTACTGCCATTAATGTTTTGCTTTTCTTTCACACATAAAGTACGCCTGACTTACTAAGTGAGGGTTTTGTGTGTCTGCGCTGTCTTCTGAATCTTAAGTTTGGTTTTGGGATATGACCGCTCACTATGGATGTGGTTAAAGGATTCTTCCTCTCAAAAGTTAGTTTTTCTTTCCAATGCTGGTACATGCAACCTCTATATGAGGTATTGCTAGAAATTCAGTGACAGAATATCATTGATTTTGTAGCAATCTGAGAAATCTGTATTATAGAAGTAACATTGCAAACACCTCAAGATTACCTTTTTTAGAGGTGAATAGCATAAATATATTATAATATGTCGATATAAAGAAGTGGCATATTATGACAATTAATTTTCATTTAATTCTTAAGGTGTTTCCTGCATTTAAAGTGCTTTGTTTGCTTTCTTCTCTTTTTGACAATTTGAGCTGATGTAACGAGGAAATTTCTCCACTGTGAGACCAATAAAGTTGATCAATAAATCAATTATCTGATTCTTTTTTTCTGTCCAATCACTTGCTTGCATCTGGGATGAACTGCCGATCATTCTTAGAACACATTGTTCAAGAAAATATACTTTGAAAAAAAAGAGAAAAATAAAATAAATAAAAGAGAATTTTTGTTCTTCTTTACCCCATTTGTCATAAATAAAGGTGTGGACACTTCTAATTGACTCCATAAAGTGTTTTTTTTTCTTTCAGTATGTCTAGTGTAAATGAAGTGTAAATGAACAAATTATTTTTATATAATATTATTTATTGTTTGTCTATTGCTTTTCTTTGTTTCTTTTTTCATTTTTTTTGTGACAAGTGCTAAAGGATTCACTAAAGGACATTAATCATTGTCATGTTCTTGTTGTATACCTGTAAAAAATCCATAAAAATAAAGTGAAAAAAAAAAGAAAAAAAAAGAAAAAAAAGAAATGTTATATTAATCGATGAGCTGAGACAGATCAGTCCTTTTGTTTTAAAACACTTGTTAAATTATTTCTCTTGAAATATATATGCAAGGTTTTCCCTACAGCAATTAAATGACACACCAACAGATAGTATCATTTTGAAG